TCTGGCAGGCAATAGTGTAGGAAACAGGGCGGGTATGAAACAGTACTTCTATGGTACACCCTGCCAAAGTCTTGTAGTAGGGGATTTCACCAAAATAACTGATTGCTTCAGCCTAGAGGAGATGCCGCTGTTTCCTAGACAAGTTTGTGTGCTGCAGACATAACTAGTGTAACGAGGTGAAGGGATTTACTACCCGGGGATCTTTCTTTGTTACCACTAACACTTTGGATGGTGCACAAGAAATGAGTGCTTCCAGAGATACTCTGTTTGTAGGACAGACTCGATTTGTAAAAGCCAGGTCTTTTCTATTAAAAATATATTTTTATATATATATGTGCGTATATATATGACTTTGGGGACTTAGAAAATAGTCTTTCTTTAAGCTACTGAAACTGGGTTTTGTAGCCGTAATCCGTTGAAGAAGGGGAAGCAAATTACAAGCCCTACCACAAGTGACAGCTGACCACTGGGCTCAGCTGTAACGTGACTGAGGAAGCACACGCTGTGCAGTTGAAAACAGAGGTTCACTTTTTAATTAGTGACAGTTAAAACTGCCGTGACCATCTTTCTTCACTGTTCTTGAAAATGTTAGAGAGCAAGAGCGTGCCAGTTCCTTTTTCTCAAGTCAGTAACTGCTCTTCAAAGCCTAACTCTACATTTTGTATGCCGTTATTACGTCGAGGAAGAATTCTCCTCTTGTATGCCCTTCTGTTTTCTGGAGGCTAAAAGGGAACTGAATGGTGATAAAAGCATGCCAGGTCATAATCTGGAAATTATTGTAATGTTATTTTTCTAATACTTTACGATCTGCTTGGGAACTGAACTGCTGAACTCAACTGTGTTCAACTTTGACAGTCTTTTATTGTAATTTTTCAGTCATTTGGGTTAATGACTAACCTTTTGGAAATCTGTGTTGGTTTAGCTACTTGTAAGATTTAAGTTTTGAGTACATGCTCTGAGAAGGTGGAGTGTTATCTGGTCCAATGTCCTCAGCTTTAGCTGTAGTGTAAAGCGGTAAGTTAATGTTTAAGCTGTTCGAGTCATAGATGCAGCAAATCCACCTAAAATAAACTTGTAAGTTAAACATACACATTTAGTTTGTGGTTGCTCGCTAAACACGTAGGTAAGACGTACTCTATAAAAATCAGATGCCAAGAAAAGGAAAATCAGGCTTCATGGATCTAAACATGTGCAGAATGTGTGGAATGTGTCTGTGCACATACCTCCCCCTCTCCCCCCTTAGGAAAAGGCTGAAAAAGCAGATGGAGTGGGGGTAAAACTAGGTATCCTAAACTATTACTTTATTTATAGAAGTTAGCAATTGTGTCATTTGCTCTCTTACTCAAGGGAATGTGCTTAGAAGGAAACATTCCTCATAAGTGAGAACTGTTCTTGGCATCAGCAAGGCTCTGACCATAAGAAAGGCTTTAATTACACTGAAACTGAACAACCCAAAACATTAAACGAAAGCATTTTAAGACAAAGATTTTTGACCAGCTGAATACAAATACCAGTTGACTATTGAACAAATAAGTACTTATACAGTGGAATTTAGGATACATTTGTCGTAAAGTCCTCAGCTTCGTGTCTGAGTACTATGAGGGCTCGTAGATCTGAAAAGTAATGTTGCGTACTTCACACACTTCAGTTATGAAAATGCTATGATTAGGAATGGAAGTAGAAAGATTAACTCTATTTAGTTTGACAAACTTCAGAAAATTCTACTTAATGATGTAAAAGAAAGGGTAATTTAAATTGGCTATGGATAGATCTTTTTGTTTTGCTGGAGGGATTTTGGTAGCAAGAACTTTCCAAGCTTTTGTGGGTTTCCAAGTTCTGCTGTGCATAGTGAGGACATATTTGGACACATACCGTAATTAAAGCTTCTTCAGGAACTTTGGAATTTAATATGAACAAGTTCGCAGAAATATAAATAGGATAAATAGTAACAATAACATAGAGGAGTAGAAGGAGTCCATTACAGTACTGTGAACTCTTAAGTTATCTTATGAATGCAAATACATATCTCTGTCCACATAGAATAAAACCATAATCATGAGTGTTGGCACACCCCAAAAACTAATGCTCACGTCTCTCAAGTCGTAATAGTGGCCTGTATTCTGGGTGCTTTAAATATGTGCATGGCTACAGAGCTTCAACAGTTTAAATTCCGATTTGATAATAAATCAAAACCCTTTAAAATTTCTGTCCCGATTTCCCCACTCTTCCTCTTCTTCCATCTTTCCAGATTTGATGAGAGATTGAAGTGTGGGTGTGGGTTTCTTTCATAATAATTCAGCATTTCTCATACTCCAAATTATTGTACAACAGCAGATGTTGTCTCATTCCTTTTCGTAAAGGTCATATATGTTGTATCAGTAAGTTTACGAATTTCAGTGTTGTTTATTCAATAAAGGCTCTCTGCTGTTCAGCTGTACACACTATTTTGCTTGATAATGTGCAAGCACATTTAGTTTTTTTCCAAACGTATTGGTGGTTGTTTTATTGTGCAAAAGCACTTTTCCCATGTTTTTGGTGGCCAAATAAATCCTGGTTTGACTGAACCCAAAGAGTTTCACAGAGGATGCTTTTATTATTATCATCATTCTGGATTAAAAAAAAAAATCATTATTACATTCTTAGCTTTGTGATGCCTTTATGCTTTTGTCAAGATCCAGTATTATATTGATGCTAGTTCTGTGGCATCTCTTGCAGTCTTTTCTAGTTCGAGAAGCTATGAACTTCGAACATTAAATTTACCACCAGCATGTGCTTTTTGTTGAGGGTGAGCGTGAGAGGGGGTAAAAAGAGTGAAGTGATATAAAATAATCAAGAGGAAGCACTCATACTGCTTCTTAGTCTACTAAAGTACTAAGATGCTTACTTGCAAAACATCCTCTTTTCCCATTTCCCCCTTTTTCTTACCTTGAAGGGGAAAAACAGAAGTGGGTCACTCCACATACAAATAGGTGGCAATCAAGCCAGTGTATGAGGCTCATTAAAGCAGAATACGCAAGTCTGTAAGGTGGCTCCAGGAAACACATCAGAAGACTGTCTGGTTGAACATTACTCCAAATGTGTAGATATTTTTACTTTGAAGTCTCACCAGTTCCCCCTTTGATACTTAGCACATGAGTCCGACCTCCCTGCGAGGCATGGCTAAGTTAATGAGAACGTGGTTTCGGACAGCTTACAATGGAAACCTGATCATTTAAACCTCCAGTGCTAGTGAAAATCGAGCACAATGAACTAGATCTGTGGGATGTGAAACTTTCTGATACTTTTTTGTTTGTTGTTGAAGCAGAAATAAACAGAGTTATGCTACTTGCTTTGTAATTCAGAAAAAAAAATGGATTGTGTTTGGGTTTTTTTTTTCCCTCAAGTATGCAAAGCAACGGGATTATATTAAACGTAGAAAATGTGTTTAAACACTGAAGGGTATACTTTGAGACAGGAAAGCAAAAAATAAATTAAACTGATACTGGGTTGTTTGGTTTTTTTAGTTCTATCATTCTTAAGTGTTTTTAAATCTTCTGGTTCATAGTTTTTTGACAAATTTGGTCATGGTAAAATTTTTTACATTACAAAGAAGGTTTTGTAATAGAAAAGTCGAAGTTACTAATGTTTCATGGGTAACAACAATGAAGAGTAGCTGTTTATACTACATTGAAGAAGTAAATGCTTTAATAGAAGAGAGTATTTCTGTTCAGAACATGCCTGTTAGCAATACCAAAACATACCAATGGAGGGTAGCAATAACCAGCCTTTACAAGCAACTTAATAGATGTGCCTGTTAGCAATACCAAAACGTACCAATGGAGGGTAGCAATAACCAGCCTTTACAAGCAACTTAATAGAACTTGTTTGTCTTCTGAAGCTGAAGATTTGTTTTCATATATCCTTTTCTTGTGTTTCAGGTGCAGATATTTGGAAGTTTTAAAACTGGTTTATATTTACCTACAAGGTTAGTAATTTTTCAGTGTAAATTCCATACAGCAGAAAAGATAGCATGTTGAACCTGTACTCCTGTCGTGACTAGTCTGATCTCCCAATATCTGTGTTACATGTGGGTATACTTATATTAAGAAAGTGTTAAACTATTAGTACTCTGCAAAGTGTACAGAAAAATAGTCATTAAGATGGATTAACTATAATACATGTGTCTATATAGATTTTGCGTGTATCAGTAAAAGATCTGAATTACCGTGTTGTCAAAAAAAGGCTTATTCTGATTTGGCTTCGTTAAATGACTGAGCCAAAGGAAGAGGTTGGCCTTAATAGAGAATCTAAATTTTATCTCCACAGATGATTAAATTGAAACATTTAACATTACCTTGTTAATGATAATGTTAGCACTGAAATAAAAGATTATGTACAGAATTGTTTTTTTCTTTCAGTCTTCTTTTGTGAAATCTGTACAATAGTCAACATCTACCTTTTCCAAATTTATTACTAGTTTTCATAAAGAAAAGTCATTACTCAGTGACACCAGTATCTTCTGTGTGGAAATTCCAAGTATTTCTGACAGTTAAACAGAAACAAAATCAAAGACTTAAATGGCTGCAGGGGATAAACACATTTAAATAGTGTAAGTCTGAGGTTAACACTTGAATTCTATACTTTGGGAACATGAGGAATTAATATCTAGTACTGACTGCAAGTGATGGATACCTGAGTCGTCATTTTATCTCTCTTCGCAAAAGTACATGACACATGCTTTAGTGTCTGCTTTAGTCTAAGGAGTTGCAGGAAAGCTGAATTGCTCAGTTTCTGTTTGGAAAGTCAGGAGTAAGGTGTACATATACACGTTATTTTCACATTTGGCCTTGTTTTTATTCATTTTAGATAGGCTGGATTAAGCTTGATTGGACGCTGATAATGTGAGAGAGATATTCCTATCCACATGACTGATAGCAACAGTTCTTTACTGTATTTGCTTGATTGATTTGAAACTGATGTGACAAAACCACTTTGCTGTTGTCTGTTTGATTTCATATATTGCCTTCCTCCATATTTGTTTGAGCTGAGTTTTCGGGACAGAATAAATGCAGATACTTCATGTAATACATAAACCCCCAAAAAGCCTTTCTGTGGCAGTACTTGCCAGACGTTCGAAATAACCAGCATTTGAGTGTCGGTGATTAATTTACTGTTGCCTCTGTCCCTTTGCCCTAGGTTTTCCCTACCTGTCAGTTGATTTAGATTCCAGGTTCTGGGATTCAGAAAGACCCACAGTGTGTTTTTAATTCTGTTACTCTGTGTTAGAATTTTCCTAATACCCTTTTACTTAGGCTGATATTGAGGGCTTGGGCACGGGGTGGTTTAGCTGCTGGATCTCTGTTACTTTGCAGGCAGTATCTATACTCAAGGTGACAACAGAGCTGCCTTTTTTCTCTTGGTGTGCATCAGAAAAATGTACCCCCTTGTTAAATGTTGGCATCAGTAGCGGGCTTAACACTAGTTTAGCTCCAAAGAGAAGTGTCCAGCAGCATTTCCTGCTCTCCAGGCAGGTTTTGAACATGGTTTTCTGAAACCATCCGGGTGCTGCCTGTCCTTGTCAGCTAAATGGTACGCGGCTGAACTTGCCCGCTGCCGGCACCGCTTGTCGGCAGCAGTGCTTCATCTAATGCAGATGTAGCTCTTTGAGATTGCTAAAGCAGGGGTGTTTGTGAATCTGCAGACCTGTAGAATCTATAGGGGGTGGGGAAGGTATTCCTAAATTTTTTTGTGTTTTGTGTCATGCAGTTTTCCATATCACTGAAGAGGCCTGCTGATACAACTATAGGGTTTTATGCTCGCCTGCTTTGTGTTCCCAACCAAGCAGGGGAAACCAAAGAAGTTGTTGAGCAAAGAGGAGAAGCTCAGGATCTCACGGTAGCCTTCACTGGCTTCAGTTTGGACGCCAGTCACCTTTTGAAATTGAGTTTAGGCATTGAATTAGGGTGTCAGCTTCCTGCGTAGTCAAACGAATGTGTATGTGCATAGGGAGGAAGTGTAGCAGGATGGAGACACCGCTGCAAGGACCCGAGTTAATGAATGAAGTTAATTAGATGGCTTGATCTTATTTAACAGCTTGTTGCTTCCTGAAGTCAAAGTTGCCACATTTTCCTTTCTCCTTCCCTGTTCCCTGTTCTTGGCACTACAGGCCACCTGCTCTCCATGTGCCCACTGGTGCTCTCATCACCCACAAAACCAACTTGGAGATGCAAAGAGGCCGGAAATTACTCCAGAATGCTTTGGGTTTTTTTTTAAGGGAGAGGGGAGTTGGTTTCTGCCAGGCCCATTAATATGTCGGATTAATTTGCTGTGGATTAGACAAACACCAGACCTAGAGGAAGGAGGAGACCCGGCCATGCGCCTGGGAGTAGAGGATGGGGAACAGGACTTTCCCTTTCAGTGACAGGCTGGTAAATCGACGCTACTGATTAATACAGCCCAAAGGCGGTGATTCACAACAAGTTAATTTCTTGCTTTGGATCACTCTGGAGAAGCTGATCCCTCCCTGCTGATGGTGTGACCTGAGGAGACTAATCTCAGGCTTTGCAGCCCCATTGATTTGTGTGTGTGTCTGTCCCCTCCCCTTGGTAACCTTGAAATGTTCTGTATTTCCCCAAGTGTGAGAGTTCATCCCCACCCCTTTCCTCAGAAAATTAAGAGTGAATTATTTGGTTAAGCTGCGTTCTATCAGCTTAGATGTGATCGTTAGGTGTGGATGTCAGTTGTTTATCTTTTAAGCATATTGGCCTTTTAATTTGAATAAACCTATATTTTTCTTTCCGTTTCAGTGATATTGATTTAGTCGTGTTTGGAAAATGGGAGACATTACCTCTTTGGACCCTGGAAGAAGCTCTTAGAAAGCACAATGTAGCAGATGAAAACTCAGTAAAGGTTTTAGATAAAGCAACTGTAAGTTTGGGGGAAGAGGGTATTTCCTTGTTGTAAGCTAATTTTCAATCAAATATCTTGATTAAAAGGATGAATTTTCATAAGCAGAAACTATTTTATATATAAATTTGAAAAAGAACCAATAGAACCTTTTTATTTAGTATGGTTTCTATTACTGACAATTTAATTGATAGTGCTCAAACAGAAGCATTCTGTTGGGGAGGATAATCTCATTTTCCATACTGCACAACATACACTTGCTTTTAAGTGAGATTATACTAGTCATTGTTGTGAACTAATGTCATTAGATTTGTGAATTTCTGGGCTGAGTTGTACATAAATAAATTATTTATTTTTTCTTCCTGCAAGTAAGCAGACATAATACGATTTCACATAGAAGTAGTAAGTAAAGCCTTGTACAAATACGTAATGTTACGTCTTGTGCAGGATAGGATTAATTTCATTATAACTTCCTACCTTTTGCTAATGGTAAGAGTATATAAGAGCGATGGGGTTTAAACAGATGTCTAATTGATGGCTAGTAGGAGAGAGAGGTAATTTGGAAACCACTCAGGTGGAGATACGTCAGACTGCTCTCAATACCTTGTGCTGCTTGTTTGAAGATAATTTTGTTGAGGAATCAATGACCCACAATGACACGTGAGTGTGTCTTTTCTTAAGAGTATGTCTATTACCATTTATCTTTATTTCTTAAGTGTTTGTCTCCCTCTGGTGTTTGTTTTTCCCACTAGAACTGTGCTTCTGCACCAGGGACTGACTGAAAACAATTTGAAGTTAATCACTTCGATGATGAAGTGTTAAGTTCTGTTAAACAGGATAGTAAATTGAAAATAGCATTTATGAGCTAGAAAATCGAAGTTTATGCAAACAGACTGGCAAGGAGAGTGAGTTCGTAAATAGACAGGAGTCCTGTTTTCTGTCTACCTCCCCTCTGCAAATTCATAAAACTTTTCAGTTTTACTGGTGCATATAAGTATGAATGAAACCAAATGTGTCTTGTAAATCTCTGCTGACTTAATCTGTCTTTCTTTTGCAGGTACCTATTATTAAACTGACAGATTCCTTCACTGAAGTAAAAGTCGATATAAGCTTTAATGTACAGAACGGGGTTAAAGCAGCCCAACTCATCAAAGATTTTATTAAGGTTAGGCAACACTATAATAGAACTACAGAGCTGAATATTCGATGACTTAGTTTGATGTAGTTTTGACTGCATCCTTACTAGAGATACGCTGTCACTCTCTGTTACTTTTTGTTGTCCGATACTACTGTGTGATGTTCTTAGGTTTTAGATATATTGCCCTAAAAGGCATGAAGATAGCAAAATGTACAAAGAAAGTATGGAGAAGTTACAATGGTACAATGACTAAGGAAGATGCACTAACACCTGTCTTAAATGTTCTGCTCTTCTAACTCTGGTTCCTTAAACTTAAAATCAGTAATAACCACATGTTCCTAAGAAGGTAGGAATAATCTTGTTCTAGATTGAATATTGTTTCAGCGTACAAATGCTAATTAAATAGAATAAGTTGAATTTAGTAAGTTATTGTTCAGGGATTCACTAATACCTGTATCATAGATACATTGCGGTTATATTTGTTTAATTTATGGGATCATTTTGTTAAGATTAATGTGCTTTTATATTTAAGTTTTGAAGTATCATTACACTATTTTCTTGTCCTTTATTCAGTGCGTGGGACACTCGTAAATGTCTCATAAAAGCAGTAGAAAATTTTTCTTGAGTTTTCATGTGCTGTGTAGGGAGATGAAGTGCAGATCAGTCTCACTTAAGTGGTTAGGTATTACTATTCTGCTACTAACTGCTTTTTAACCAAACTAATGGACAGTAGGAGAATCAAAATATTTCAATAGCTAGACAAGCAAAACTCCTTCATAAAACTCCATAAATCGGAATAAAGCAAGCACTTCCGATCACAAGGGTTAGAAATCAGGTACATCTGCTTTAATAATGTCATAGAGTTGCAAGAAGTCTTCTAAATTTGGGGGGATTTTCAGTTGCTGATGAGTTGAATTTGTGGCCTTCGACTTGTTAATCTTCAGTTCCTTCATCTATGTTCAGTAGCAAGTATGAAAGTAGCTCAGTTTGCTTCTATAGCGTCTATTTCTTTAACTTGTAGAAGGACGCAGGAGAAAAATCTCCGTCCTTCATTTCGGTAGAACAGTATGAGTCCTTGTCTGCGTAGTCTCACCTGTGTGCTTACATAAACCACCTGCTTAAACCTTGTGCCAGTGAGGCCTCTTGTACCTGTGTTCAGAGTAAGAGGGTGAGGTGGCTCCAGAGACCTTTCTTCTCTCAGCCTCTGACGAACGGAAGTCGATTGTGTTGGCCAACTGATTGCTGCTTCAAGACCAATAGGTTTGTGCTCCTTGTTGGGGAAATAAGATGCCCAGATTCTCTGTTGTAAGACATTAGCTACCTGGAAGTTGGTAGCTAACTTCAGTTTTTACATCCTGTGTGTTGTCGCGTTGCCTTGCGGTGGGCAGGCAGTCTGTGGTTGGTTTTCTGCCGCAACACAGAGGCTCTATTTCTGTGACACTCCGCATATAAATTTGTTTTTAGGGAAGTCCATAAGGCCTGCATACTTGCCCCAAATTGCCCATGTGCCTCTCAATTTCAAGATAGGAGGTGATCTTCTCTTGAGAGCCTGAAGGCACTTTTGTGTGCTTAAAAAAAGAAAAAAGCGTTGGGCTGTTCCTGTTGCGCAGGTTATCCGTAACCCTTTGGAGACGCAGCTTTGGCCTTGGGTGAGGGCACAGCGGGAGCGGGCTGTGCCCCCGGGCAGAGGGCGGGCGCTGCGTGCGGCA